CCTTTCTGAGAAAGAATAAGAGAAACGTCCCTGAATTCCATGTGAAGAACGGAATGCCGGTCTCATATTTATATTATAAGTTTTTTTGCCTTACTAAATTCCAACCTTGTAAATAGCATACATTTAGGCACTAGACAAATAATGCATTTCATCTACAATTAAAATAACAATAATACAATAACAATTCAAAATGTAATGTTTTTTTATAAAAAAGCTAAAATTTTTTGTTTTTGAAAACCACTTAAATAACATCAGCAACAATTGCAAACAATCATGAAAAATGGTCTTAAAACAATAATCGCTTAGTTGTGTAACCGAAAAAATCCCCAAACAATGGCAAATTGTTTGCCTCCCATGCCCCCCAAAATTTGAGAGGTGATAATTCCATACTTGCTGGGTAGATTACAACTGAGCCGCCCACATTTGTCATATGGCATTCGTTTATCCGAAATGAACATAATTCGCTTTGCAGTGAATCGCTAATCGAGGCATTTGGTTGTTAAGCCTCTCTTAAGGCAATGTAAAATTTGGCGATTTTATGGGAGAAGCTTAGAGGTGTAAGGGATTTAAGAGATTATTTATGAGAGTTTTAGGACTGATAATTTGGTACAAATGGAGAATATTACTATTATCGAATTTCGAAAATAGGTCTAGGATTCCGTAACAAAAAAAAAATCAGAACAGGACCTTTTTTCATTTGGAAAAATGTTGAGTCTTGAAATGAAAATACAGCCTCTCTAAAAAAAATGGGCATGGAGCTGCTTTGCATTTTATATATTTTTTATAATTTTATAACATAGTTTCCCGTCATTGCAAAAATTTTGAAATTATGACTAAGTTTTAAAATTGGGAGTATAATATTCGAGGCCTTAATACAGGTAGTCCCTATTATTTTTTCAATATGTCGTACTCAAGCATTTAATAGCTTGAACTTTGGTGCGTATAATTAATATCACAACGTATACGTTCATAGCTCTCTTTTGATATTTTGATAGAATTACTTTAAACCCTTCTTCAAACACATGTGTATAGCCTGAAATTCTCAACACACCCCATGTACAAAATAACAATGGAAAATATCAATGAAATTTGGTGGAATTATTAGCGCCAGACAGGTTGCCCCATAACTTTGCCACTTAACCTTTATTGCCTCATTGAAATAGCCTTCCACAATGACAATAAATTTTATTCCATGGACAATAAAAATTCAACGGCAGAATACATACGAAAATCAAACAAAAATGAATATAAATTTCTTAGGAAATTACATTGAACTTTGGGAGTAAAATTTGGTATTTCCCAGCCACCATTCCCAATTTTTCTTCTTCCCTTTTCTTTTACAAAAAAGTAATTCCTGCCAACTCACTTCTTTCGAAAAAAACAAACTTAAATAGTTTCTAGTGAAAAAATATTTAATTTCCGGTTTTAAGCCACGTTTTCTTCGTCGCTGCTAGGATGCCATGTCACTCTCTCTCCTTGTATCCCTGACCTCATTTACTTCCTGTTAACCGCTGTTGTGGAACCTCACTGCGTATTATTAACATGTTTTGTACAAATAACGCTCATTCAACATACGCCCACCAAAACGAGAGCGTAGAAACTCAAGCACGTTATCCAAGGCGACTTTGGTGACAGTTAACCTTTTCAGTGCCAATAGAAAACACGTTGTGATTAGAAAAAAATCTATGGAAATAAAAAATTAGAGCGAAAGACCAGGAGGAGTATTAAATTATTTTCCTCATTTGATTTTTTGTGATTTCTCAAGAAAAAAGCGCGAAATTATGGTCCTAAGCAACATATTTTTTTTGGACCTAAAATACAGGTTTCTCCATTGGTTTTGTGACAGATATGGTTATTATTTTTTCCAGATATTGGAAATATGAAAAAAATCTAAATCTCTATGCACAGTTTGAAATCTCTTTTTATTTTAATGAATTATTTAATAATGCAATAACTTGGCCACTGGAGCGTATGCTTGTTGTTATAATGTATACGCAAAGAGACCATTTGAATTTCGTCTGAAGCTTCTGAGCTCCTTAAGTGCCTTCTATAGATGAAAGACTTTTCAAAAGGTCTTTCATGGAGAGGATTCAATGAAAATTCGCCTTCCGAAACTCAGAAGCTTCAGAAGAAACTCATATGGCTTCATTGCGTATACGTGATGACAACAATCATACGCTCCATATTATTTCAAGGACCGAAAGGAACGGGGATCTTTTAAAAAATATTTTTTTCGAGGATCAAAGGACGAACCAAGGTGGATTTTTTAAGAATAGTTTTTCAAGGATCAAAAGACGAACCAACGTGGATTTTTTAAGAATATTTTCTCAAGGATCAAAGGAAGAACTTACGTTGATTTTTTAAAGAATTATTTTTTTATCTATAAAAGGTCCTTTGAGGTCCTTTCTTCTGCATATAGAAGATCCTTTGAAGAGTCTTTTATCTTCAGAAGGCCCTTTGAAGGGTCTTCTATATATAGAAGGCCCTTTGAAGGTTCTTCTATTTATAGAAGGACCTTAGAAAGGTCTTCTATCTATAGAAGGCCCTTTGAAGGGTCTTCCATCTAAGGAAGCCATTTGAAGGATCTTCTGCCTATAGAATATAAACAAATATTTTTCAAGGACCAAAAGAAACGGGGACTATTAAAAGAATATTTTTTCAAAGATCCAATGAACGTGGAATTTTTAAAGAATATTTCTTCAAGGAACAAAAATGAACGTGGATCTTATAAAGAATAATTTTTCATGGATCAAACGGAACGTGGATTTTTTTAAAGAATATTTTTTCAATGACCAAACTGAACGTGGATTTTTTAAAGAATATTTTTTCAAGGACCAAAAGTAGCGTAAATTTTTTAAAGAATATTTTTTAAAGGACCAAAAGGAATATGGATTTTTTAAAGAATATTTTTTCAAGGATTAAAAGGAACGTGGATTTTTTAAAGAATATTTTTTCAAGGACCAAAAAGGAACGTGGTTTTTTTAAAGAATATTTTTTCAAGGACCAAAAAGGAACGTGGATTTTTTAAAGAATATTTTTTCAAGGAACCAAAAGGAACATGGTTTTTTAAAGAATATTTTTTTTCAAGGACCGAAAGATCAGTTAATGTGGATTTATAAAGGAATGTTTTTTCAAGGACCCAAATGAACGTGGATATTTTAAAGAATATTTTTTCAAGGACCGAAAGATCAGTTAATGTGGATTTATAAAGGAATGTTTTTTCAAGAATCCAAATAAACGTGGATTTTTTAAAGAATATTTTTTCAAGAATCCAAATAAACGTGGATTTTTTAAAGAATATTTTTTAAAGGACCAAAAGAAACGTGGATTTTTTAAAGAATATTTTTTAAAGGACCAAAAGAACGTGGATTTTTTAAAGAATATTTTTTCAAGTATCCAAATAAATGTGGATTTTTTAAAGAATATTTTTTTAAGTATCCAAATAAACGTGGATTTTTAAAGAATATTTTTTCAAGGACCAAAAGTGACGTGGATTTTTTAAAGAATATTTTTATAAGGTCCAAAAGGAGCGTGGATTTTTAAAAATAAAATTCTAAGGACCAAAAGTGACGTGGATTTTTTAAAGAATATTTTTTCAAGGCCCAAACGGAACGTGGGTTTTTAAAAAATATTTTTTCAAGGACCAAAAGGAAGGTGGAATTTTTCAAGGATTAAATAAACGTGGATTATTCAAATAATATTTTTTCAAGGATCAAACAAACGTGGATTTTTTAAAGAATATTTTTTTAAAGAATATTTTAAACGCGGATTTTTAAAAAAATATATTTTTTCGAGGACCAAAAGAAACGCGGATTTTTAAAAAAATATATTTTTCAATGTCCAAAAGGCACGTGGATTAAAAAAAAAATATTTTTTTTAAATGTCCAAAAGGGACGTGGATTTTTAAAAAAAATATTTTTTTTAAATGTCCAAAAGGGACGCGGATTTTTAAAAAAAAAATATTTTTTTAAATGTCCAAAAGGGACGTGGATTTTTAAAAAAAAATATTTTTCAATGTCCAAAAGGGACGTGGATTTAAAAAAAATCAATGTCCAAAAGGGACGTGGATTTAAATATTTTTCAATGTCCCTCCAAAGACACTTCTACAGATATAAGACTCTTAAAAGGGACTTCCAGGGATAGAAAACCCTGTAAAGGGCCTTGTATTGGTAGAAGGCTCTGTAAAATGTCTTTTCAGATAGAATATCTCTCAAAGATGCTTCTATAAATATGAGATCCTTCAAATGGCTTTATATAGAAATAAGATCCTTAAAAGGACCTTCTACTGATAGAAGACCCTTTACAGACCTTATATGCCTTCTACATGTAGAAGTCCCTTTAGAGTTTGTTATAGAACAAACCTACTTTGAATAAAATTAAATAGATGACCCTTCTAAGGGTCTTTTATGGACAGAAGATTCTTCAATGGGCCTTCTACTTATTAAAGACACTTAAAGGGGCCTTCTATAGATAGAGGATCAAAGGGTCATCTATAGATAGAAGAGCCTTCAAAGAGCCTTCTTTGGATATAAGACCCTTCAAAGTTTCTTCTTTAGATAGGAAACCCTTCAGGGGCCTCCTCTATAAATCACGCCAAAAAAATATCTTCTGAATAGAGAATAGGAGACATTTGGTGGATTAAGAAAATTAATGTTTTATATAATTATATTTTTTCTAACTATCCATAAATTCCTTTTAGGAATTCACTTTGACTTCCCCTACCAAACCCTCCGAATTCCATTGGTCCATCTCTCGCCGTTTCTAATTAAGTTATAGGAAATAACTTCATTTTTAATTTCATGATGGGGGGAAACAAGTATTTTAGTTATTTGCTACGATTTCATTGTTTTAATTGCATTCGTATTTTTTTCTCTCCCCACTCTCTCGCCCTGCTGTACCCTGCCAACGACAACAATGTTTGCCGACACGTTATTGCAAATTCTGTAATACCCGATGGCTTATTGGTGTTTGCTGCTGCTGCCATTGTTCCCGTCATCTAGGTAATGGTTTAATAAATGAAGCGGAATTCCTGCAATGGGTGGGTCGCATACAGGCCCTGCGCGACGAGCAACACCAACAACAGCAACAAGAGGAAAACGCCAGCAAACCCGATGAATTGGATGATGTCACCCAGGATTTAATTGCTGCATTTAGGTATGTATCCATGCCTCTGTTCAATAGTTTGAAAGTGTGTATTTGTGTGTGTGATGTATGAATGTGTGGGTGCTTGTAGGACCATTTAACCACTTGAACATGAATGTGGCACAGTGGTTTGTCTCCTCGATGGCTGCTCGCTCTCGGCTGGAGTCATCTGAAAATGACATAACCCCCAACTGGATGCACGTTTTTAAGGTGAATTGGAGGAATTGTTGTAGTTGTTGGTTTTTGTTGTGGTCCTCCTCAAAGTGTTTTGTGTCTGACAAGTGGTTGCGTATGGTAACATATGGCATAAATGTTATCAGCAGGACATGCTCAAAATGCCATGCCCTTTTAAAAGGGACATTAAAATAGTTTTGAGTTTTGGACAAGCCAATACTCTCGGATTTTTTTGGAACACAAAAGCAACGAGGATTTTTTAAATATATTTTTTCAAGGACCAAATTTTAAAAATTATTTTTCAAGGACCAAAGGCAACTTGGATTTTTTAAAAATTATTATTCAAAGGCCAAAGGCAACATGGATTTTATTAAAATTATTTTTCAATTTTTAAAAATTATTTTTTGACGAACAAAGGCAACGTGGATTTTTTTTAAATTATTTTCTAACGAACAAAGGCAACGTGGATTTTTTAAATTATTTTCTAACGAACAAAGGCAACGTGGATTTTTTAAAAATTATTACTTTTTTCAAGGACCAAAAACAACGTGGATTTTTTAAAAAATATTTTTCAAGGACCAAAGGCAACGTGGATTTTTTAAAAATTATTTTTCAAGGACCAAACGGCCAATGTGGATTTTTTAAAAATTATTTTTCAAGGACCAAAGGCAACTTGGATTTTTTAAAAATTATTTTTCAAGGACCAAAGGCAACGTGGATTTTTTAAAAATTATTTTTCAAGGACCAAAGGCAACGTGGATTTTTTAAAAATTATTTTTCAAGGACCAAAGGCAACGTGGATTTTTTAAAAATTATTTTTCAAGGACCAAAGGCAACGTGGATTTTTTAAAAATTATTTTTCAAGGGCCCAAGGCAACGTGGATTTTTTAAAAATTATTTTTCAAAGGACTAAAGGCAACGTGGATTTTTTAAAAATTATTTTTCAAGGACCAAAGGCAACCTAAATTTTTTAAAAATTATTTTTCAAGGACCAAAGGCAACCTAAATTTTTTAAAAATTATTTTTCAAGGACCAAAGGCAACGTGGATTTTTTAAAAATTATTTTTCTAGGACCAAAGGCAACGTGGATTTTTAAAAAATTATTTTTCTAGGACCAAAGGCAACGTGGATTTTTAAAAAATTATTTTTCTAGGACCAAAGGCAACGTGGATTTTTAAAAAATTATTTTTCAAGGACCAAAGGCAACGTTTATTTTTTAAAAATTATTTTTCAAGGGCCTAAGGCAACGTGGATTTTTAAAAAAAAAAAATTTTTCAAAGACCAGAGGCAACCTGGATTTTTTAAAAACATTTTTTCAACGACCAAAGGCAACGTGGATTTTTTTAAAAATTATTTTTCAACGACCAAAGGCAACGTGGATTTTTTTAAATAATTTTTTCCAAAGACCAAAGGCAACGTGGATTTTTTAAAAATTATTTTTCAACGACCAAAGGCAACGTGGATTTTTTTAAATAATTTTTTCCAAAGACCAAAGGCAACGTGGATTTTTTTAAATAATTTTTCCAAAGACCAAAGGCAACGTTGATTTTTTTAAATAATTTTTCCAAAGACCAAAGGCAACGTGGATTTTTTTTTAAATAATTTTTTCCAAAGACCAAAGGCAACGTGGATTTTTTTAAAAATTATTTTAAAAGGGCCTAAAGCAACGTGGATTAAAAAAAATACTTTTTCAAGGATTAAAAGTAACCTTGATTTTTTTAAAAAATAGTTTTTCAAAGACCAAAGCACCAACATGGATTTTTTAAAAATTATTTTTCAAGGACCAAAGACAACGTGAACTTTTTAAAAATTATTTTTCAAGGACTAAAGGCAACGTGAATTTTTTTAAAAATTATTTTTCAAGGACCAAAGGCAACGTGGATTTTTTAAAAATTATTTTTCAAGGACCTAAATCAACTTGGATTACAGCTTTCCCCATCCTTGCCGTTAACCCTGCATAGCTTACATCCTTCACCACAAAAGCCCAGCCGATGTCAGCATCAAAATGCGTTTTACAACATTTCTTTTTTCTCTTCCATTCTCTGCGGTTTTTGTGATTTGCCTAGCCATTAAGTGCGGTGTTATATAAATCCTCGGGAAAAACAAATGCGAAGAAAAAAATCTGATATCTTTTGCACAACATGACTGCCTGCCTCTGTGTGTGTGCGTGTGTGTGGTAGATAGCTGTGGTGTTGGTGAAAGCCACAATGTCAAACTGTTTTTTTTTTTCCTTTTTATCCTTTTATTGCTCTACTTGAAAATTACATTGCTATTGTTGTTGTTGTAAACCAATTTGTAAATTTGTTGTTTTTTCGCACTCCAATTCATTTACAGAGTATTTGATCGGGATGGCAATGGCTTTATTACCCGTGATGAATTACAAACCGCCATGGAAATGATTGGTGAGCCCCTGACAGAGACACAGCTGACACAGCTATTGGCCATAGCGGATCTGGATCAAGATGGGCGAATCGATTATGAAGGTAAGTGGGAGATACTATTTTCAAATATTTTCCAATTACATTCGAAATACCCAAGGATGGGTAATCTGAATTACAACTCCTTTCAAAAGTCAAAAAAGTATTCTTCTCATTCCCTTTTAGTCCTTTATCCCACTTATCCCTTTTATTTTCTTGACCTTTTGTGAAAATGCGAAAATCATTTAATTAGGATTATTTGCTGCTCCTTGCCCAAGCCTGTGTGCGTGCGTGCATGCTTGAACAAATATACATTTCTACTTAATTACATTCTATCCGTGTCCGTACGTTTTTCCTTTGTTGTCTCGTAAATATTTACTCGTCCTTACGCCCACGCAGTGTCTGTCCTTTTCATTTTTTTTTTCGTTCTGGGTTGTGTCATTTGTAGTACGTCTCGATTACATAAAAAATACGATGACAAGTGGCACACATGCACTTGGACACATGCAGGTCAACAGGGATGGGAAGGTGGTATTCGTATAAATAATAAATAATTCAATTTTAAAGGATAAATAAATTATTCGTAATTTTTGGATAAATAATTTATCCAAAAATTCGGATAAAAAAATTATCCACGTCTGTGGATAAATAATTTATCCACGTTTGGTGGATAAAAAATCATCCACCATTGTGGATAAATTTTGTGGATAAATAAATAATCCAATTTTTTGGGATAAAAAGTTATCTTTATTTGTGAATAATAGATTATCCACGGTTGTGGATAAATAAATTATCCACATCTATGGATAAATAACTTATCCACGGTGGTGTGTAAAAAATGCTATATGTTTCGACATTTACTGAAAAATAAATTATTCGCGTTTGGTGATAAATAAATTATCCACCTTTGTGGATAACTTAATTATCCTCAAATCTGGATAATTAAATTTTCCGCAAATTTGGATAATTAAATTATCCACATGAATGGATAATCCACGTTTTCGAATAAATCATTTAACCACGTTTTGTGGATAATCGTATTACAATTAATTATCCATCTTTTTGGATAAATAGTTTATCCATCTTTATGGATAAATAAGCTATTCTCCTTTTTCGTATAATTGAATTATACATTTTTTGTGGATAAATGAAATGTTTAGTGGATAGTTAAATTAAGTTATCCACATTTTGTTGATAAATAAATTATCCACGTTGGTGGATAAATATATTATCCAGGATTATGGATGAAAAAATCATCCAACTTTGTGGATAAATAAATTATCCACGATTTGGGAAATATATTATCCACAATTGTGGTTAAATAAATTATCCACATGTGTGGATAAATAAATTATCCACGTTTGTGGATAAATAAATTATCCATGTTTGTAGACAAATAAATATTCCGTGGTTGTTATTATCCAAGTTTTGGGAATAAATAAATTATCCTCGATTTGTGGATTAACAAATTATCCACGTTTTGTGGATAAATAAATTATCCACCCAAGCGGATAAATAAATTATCAACATTTGTGAATAATCAATGATCCACATTTTGTGGATAAATAAACTATCCCCGTTTTGTGGGTAAATAAATTATCCACCTTCTGTGGATAATCATTTTATCCACATTTGTAGATAAATAAACTTGCCCCGTTTTGTGGATAAATAATAATTAACGGATAGATAAATTATCCTCAAATTTAGATAAATAAATTATCCACCTTCTGTGGATAATCGTTTTATCCACATTTGTGGATAAATAAACTATCCACATTTTGGGGATTAATAATTATCCAAGTTTCATAAATAAATCTTCCACATTTGTGGATAAATAAATTATCCTCGAATTTTTATAAATAAATTATCCACGTTTTGTGTATAAAAAATGGTATCCTAGATACGTTATCCACGTCATTTAAATATCGTAGATACATTATACCAGACGTAGATACATTAACACGTCATTTAGATATCGTAGATACATTATGCCATCCGTAGATACATTATCCACGTCATTTAGATATCGTAGATACGTTATCCACGTCATTTAAATATCGTAGATACATTATACCAGACGTAGATACATTAACACGTCATTTAGATATCGTAGATACATTATGCCAGACGTAGATACATTATCCACGTCATTTGGATATCGTAGATACTTTATGCCAGACGTAGATACATTATCCACGTCATTGAGATATCGTAGATATATTATACACGTCATTTAAATATCGTAGATACTTTAAACCAGACGTAGATACATTATACACGTCCTTTAGATATCGTAGATACATTATCCACGTCATTTAGATATCGTAGATACATTATACAAGACATTAGATACATTATCCACGTCATTTAAATATCATAGATACATTATACCACACGTATATACATTATACACGTCATTTAGATATCGTAGATACATTGTACCGGACGTAGATACATTATACACGTCATTTAGATATCGTAGATACAATTTCCACGTCATTTAAATATCGTAGATACATTATACCAGACGTAGATACATTATACACGTTATTTAGATATCGTAGTTACATTATCCACGACGTAGATACATTACCGGCGTCATTTAGATATCGTAGATACATTATCCACGTCATTTAGATATCGTAGATACATTATACCAGACGTAGATACATTATTAAATATCGTATTTGCATTATACCAGAAGTAGATACATTATCCACGTTATTTAGATATCGTAGATACCTTATACCAGACGTAGATACATTATACACATCATTTAAATATCGTAGATACTTTACACCAGACGTAGATACATTATAAACGTCATTTAGATATCGTAGATACATTATACCAGACGTAGATACATTATACACGTCACTTAAATATCGTAGATACTTTATACCAAACGTAGATACATAATAAACCTCATTTAGATATCGCAGATACTTTTTACCAGACGTAGATACATTATACACGACATTTAAATATCGTAGATACATTATACACGTCATTTAAATATCGTAGATACATTATCCACGTCATTTAAATATCGTAGATACATTATCCACGTCATTTAGATATCGTAGACACATTATCCACGTCATTTAGATATTATAGATACATTATCCACGTCATTTAAATATCGTAGATACATTATCCACGTCATTTAGATATCGTAGATACATTATCCACGTTATTTAAATATCGTAGATTCATTATCCACCTCATTTAAATATCGTAGGTACATTATACCAGACGTAGATACATTATCCACGTCATTTAGATATCGTAGATACATTATTTGCGACGTAGATACATTATCCACGTCATTTGGATATCGTAGATATAATATACCAGACGTAGATACATTATACACATCATTTAGATATCGTAGATATATTATCCATATCATAGATACATTATCCACGTCATCTAGGTGTCGTAGATACATTATATACTGTGGATAAAAAATTATCCACATTTGCGGATTAATTATTAACCTCATTTGTGTATAAATAAATTATCCACATCTTGTAGATAATGAATTTCATCCTCAAAATTGGATAAATAAATTTTCAAAACTTGTTGATAAATAAATTAATCACGTTTTGTGGATGAATAAATTGACCAAATTTGAAGATATTGGGTAAATAAATTATCCACGTTAAAATAACTATCCACATTTTGTGCATATTTTATTTTAAAAAATTACGCACTCACATCTCTGCCTCAGTAGCAAAACCTTTTAAAGGACTTAACGTAACCATCCTCATGGCCCCATCAAGTGCCTTATTTTCTAGTTCATCATCATCGTCGTCATCAGCATGCTCAGCATTTTGTTTATGACCCTAGAAACAAACGAGGACATTATTAATTTTTTCCCCCATTTTGTCTAAGTATTTTGTCAGACTTGCATTTTGTTGTTGTTGTTGTTGTTGCACAATAACCATGGCAAGCTGTTGCTTTTGGGGTCCCTGAAAAGTTTATTAACCTTAAGCTTGCTTGGCTGGCCATCTTCTGCTGGCAAAAGAAGTGCTCACGTATGAAATGAAGAGACTCGTGTCTGGCTTACCCATGGGCTACTTGTTATGCAGGCGGTTCTTTGGTGATGTGGAAATGTGGGAATTTTTTTCAAAACCGGTTTGAAGGTCAAATTTTGAAAAAATAAATAGTATTTTTCCCATACGAATTTTCAGGGATTATTGCCTCAATTGGTTTCTGAAAACTCTGAAAACTAAGGAAAGATTGTCACTTATAAAAATTATTCCTACCCTTCAACATTTTCAGATTCTTCTTCTTTTTCCACAATTCCCTTAATAATCGGTTTTATTATCCTTCTCCCTCTCTCCCTGATTCTCCCTCATGTCCTGCCTATGTTTCTTCATAACAATATCCTTCAGCCATTTGTCTTCCCTTCTTTTGCGCTGCCAAACACTTGAATAACAATAGCCAGAATTTTTTACCAAGTTGCCACATTTGGCTATCACCTTCACCACGACACGTTTGTCGTCCCTCTAAACAGATCTACAAATTGTCAACAGACTTACCTAAATACCAATATTTACATTCAAATAAAATATTCATAGCAACACTTAAAGCAAATTTGTTTTAGAAATAAAGGGAAAATAGCCTGAGAGGGAAAGCAACAGGGTGAATATAGGTGAGAAGGAGAAGAGGTAATTTCCTCTAAGCTACGATACAGCTTATTAAGATAGGACGGTAGTAATGTGTGTGCATTAAAATTTAGTTCCAATTCCTTAGAGTCGTAACTAATTTTTATGTGTTCATCAGCCGGTTCCATTCATCAAGCAATTGGACTGCTATTATTCTCAGCGAACTCTCATTTGAATGGGTTCATTCAATCGATTTATTTATTTACTCACACCCTCACGCACACAAAATCACTTGTCAATGGCTCATTGCAATGCATGGAGGAGAGTGGCAGTTGGGAGCATGTTACTAATATAATTACTAATACGTTATACTAGTTCTTTCTTAGTTTTGACACATATCATCGATTATTATCCTGAAGGGGAAAAGATAGGAACAGTATAGATGGAGAAAAT